TTTGGAAATTCGTACTTATGTGTACTAAATAGTACTAAAATTGTTTCATTTTAAATTTTGGGAGAACCAATAGTGATGGAAGCCTGAAATTTGGGAGTAAGATTACTGAGGTATGTAGGTAGATTTGAAAATTCGTCCATTCGTTTAAATCTAAATTTGGGGTCAACAAACAGTGGTGGAATCCTATAATTTGGAATTGGGATAACTGTGGAAGTGTAGGATTGGAATGTAGGCAACTTTAAAAATTCATACTTATATGTACTAAATGGTAGTAAATTTGGTACAAATTGGAATTGTGATAATTGGACCAGGAATTTTGAAATTGGAATGAGAGCCATTGATGGAGAGCAGGATAGATGCGCCAAAGGTTTATGAAATTTGGCATGGAAATTAAGGTTGGAAGGTAAGTTTGATGTATGAATGTGGTTTTGGAAAGGTGTACTAAGTGTGCGAACTGTACTAAGTGGTACTAAATTTGATGAAGCTGGAATTTTAAATTTTGTATAGGTGGTTTTGGACATGTGTACTACAAGTGCACGAAAAAGTGCAAAGTAGTGCTATTTTTGGTACAATTTGATATTGTGCTTGAAATTCTGAAATTTGCTGTTGGGTTTTCAGTTAATGTGTACTATAATTGTGCGAAAAGTACAGAATGGTACTATGTATGGTATTTGTTGAAGGGATAAATATACAATTCTTAAATTTTATATTGGGGTCTCTGTTGGTATCTGGAATTAAGATATGGGGGTGGCTTTGAAAATATGTACTATAATTGTTCGAAAAGTATTAAGTGGTACTATATTGGGTGAAGGAATAGAGCTGGAATCCTCTTATTTGTTAATGAAGTTTCTGTTGGTATCTGGAATTGAAATTTGGATTTGGGTTTGGAAATGTGTACTACAAATGCACGAAAAGTACAAAATGGTACTATATTTGGTAAAATTTAGTACTGGGTGAATTTTATAGTGCTTGAAATATGAAATTTAGTATTGTGGTCGCTTTCCATGTGTAGCCTGAACATATGGAGGTTGCTTCGAAAATGTATACTATAGTTGTACGAATAGTACTGAATGGTGTTATAGTATAATAGTGAATGTTTTATATTCGTTATTGAATGAAGGGAAAGAGATAAAATGGTGAAATTTATGTTACTGAGGTATTTGTTTTTTTTTTTTTTTTCAGATTTGGCGGTGGTTTCGCAATCCGTCCTATATTTGGACGAAATGTACTAAGTGGCACTAAATTTGGTATTGCGTGAAGGGATAGAACTGGAATTCCGAAATTTGATATTGAGCTCTATGTTGATATCTGGAATTAAGATATGGAATTGGTTTTGGAAATGTGTATTTTAACTGTACGAAAAGTACTAAGTGGTACCAAATTTGGTATCTGGGATTGAGATATGAGGTGTTTGCTAAAACACCCTTTATAAGGACTCATTACCATAACTTGGGTCTACACGGCAGTTCTCTGCAACGATGTATTTTGTTGAATCTTAACACAAACTTCTGAATAAACACACTGTGCGAAATGAAAAATAATGATGGTAAAGTCTAGCGGATTATGAAAATAGATCTAAGAAAAGAAGGAATGTGCGTCGGCGTTTTGAACGTTTACAACGCAAAGTAACCAAAATGGAGGGGGCGAGAGGCACCCCTCATTCCACGGAGTCCGTGCATTTAAGGTTGATTGTGTATTCGACAGTATTGCCGATAAAAAAGCGAGGAATATTCTGTTTTGAAACCCGCAAACATTAGAAGTTTGATTAGACCAAAAATTGTCCTATCTCGCCGAGCTGAGTCGATCTAGCATATATGTCTGTCCGTCTGTCTGTCTGGCTGGTGCGCATCATAACTTTCGAAGGGAGTATCCGATTTGGTACATCGTAATATTATTGTTGAACTTAGATCGAGTTGGGAGATGAGCAATATTGGTCCACTCCTTATGGTACCGAAATTTTCAAAAAAAAAAAAAAATATTTGCTGCACAGAAAGAGAAAGGACAATCCGACTTTGCTCTAGCTTAGCGACTGCTAAAAATTTGTTTTTTGTCATAGTTGTTATTTTTAAAAAAACTTCTGGGGAGAATATCCCAGACAAAAAACAAGGGAACTGATGAGGGTTGGTGGCTCTTTCCGAAACCTAGGTATTCCCTGCCTTACCCCCTAGTATAAACAAACGTTGTTTTTATAAAAATAACAATAGAGGGATAAAGCCTGACCATTTTGCAACAACAACTGCTAATATTTTAATCAGTGCTAGATCAGGTGCGAAGTACCTCCCAGACCGTCAAGTACCATCCACACACAGGATCCAAATTTGGAATAGTTATAACTCTTTTAAAATTGCACACATCACAATATTTTTATAAACTCAAGGTCTGGAATGAATATGCAATATATCGATCCCTTTCGTCTGGTACCTCCTTGGAATATTCATGAAGCCCATAAACACAAGATCTGATGTAAAGATGTTAGAGATCGGACCACTCCTTCTGGTAAATCCCCTACAAAGGGTCAAATTTTTAAATATCCGTGAAGGTCATAAAACGCGAAATAAGCATCACGTTTTCTTTATTTTTCACACATCCCACTATTTACACTAACACAAGATCTGTTGTAAAGATGGTAGAGATCGGACCATTCCTTCTTGTACCTCCCACACAAAGGGTCAAATTTTTGAATGCCCATGAAGGTCATAAAACGCAAAATAAACCTCAGGTTCTCTTTATTTTTCACACATCCCATTATTTGTACTAACACAAGATCTGTTGAGAAGATGCGATTCTGATACCTTCCCCACAAAGGGTCAAAATTTGGAATATCCATGAAGTTCATAGAAACGAAATTAACATCCGATTCCATTCCAGACTTAGTACATCTCAATATTTCCATCAAAACAAGATCTGTTATAAAGATGGTAGAGATCGGATAATTTCTTTTGTTGTCTGACCACACAGGGTTCAAGATTTTGAAAAATAAAACGCTCAAAAAAAGAGAAATAAGCATACAACTCTCCTCAATTTTCACACATACAAACATTTTTTCTAACGCAAAATCCGACCCATAAAGGGTCACAATTTCCAATAATTATATCTTTCATAGCTTGCGAAACAAGTCTGCGATTCGTTACAACTTGCTATATCTAAATATTTTCCTCTACAAGAAACCTGATATGAATAGGTAATTTAGCGGAATTTATGATTTCGCATATAATTGGATATAAAAGTTTGATTTCCTTGAAATTTTGCACATACTAATGTTTTTATCCGTATTAGATGAAGTATGAAAATGGAATACTTCGGTCCGGTATATCTGTTACCTCACGAATTTTTCCACATTTAAATAAAGTATAGGAAGCAGCCGATATAGTCCACATCTGGCACGTTTTAATCAGCCTTAGGCCATATACGAATTGGTCAATATTGGCTTAATTCGGAACCTTCCCCATAAAAGGGTCAAGAGTTTGAATAATCATAACTCCAGGCTGGGAGTATACATCTGTTTATAATGCCCTACAAATTTTCTTATAATGTTACTGAAAAATAGCCATTAGGGGTTATAGAAAAAGGCAAGTGGACTTTATAGTACCCGTTTGTAGATCAAAACCCCAAATAAATTTTGGGTTATTTGGCCAAATATTGCAAAGCCTCTTTTATAATTTTTACCACAAATGATGGTACCTCAATATTTTGACATTTATTTCGCAATTTTTAGGATACAACTTTGAAATTTGATAGAAAGCCTTGGATTACATGCAGAATCATTTTTAACAGAAAATAGGTCGGAATCATTTTAACAAAAAATGGGTCAGATAAGTCCAAAATAAATATAAATTTACCGGAAAATTTCGAGAAAATGTTCATAATTTCGTTTCCAACCTAAGCTGCTAATTTAATTTATTTCCCATAATCCCGTGCGTTACAAATGAATGCATTGTGGAAAAACGTACTCTGTAACGTACGAAAAACACCTTCAATCGAAAATTATTCGCAAGAAAACCAACAAATCTAATAAAGTAAACGAAACACTGACATAAAAATGCAACACATTTACAAAACCGGCTTTAGAAAAAAAAAAAAAAACGTTGAAAAAAAAGAGCAGAAAAAATGCGACAATAAATAAGAATGGAACGTGTATTGGGGTATTTGTAAAATGGGCGCGAATCAATGGAATTTGAACTTTAAATTAGAGATGATTCGGTTTCGAATATTATTTGGAGAACTGTTATACTCGTTTATTTTAAACGGCAAAACACCTTTTTTCGGCTGCCAGTGATTGTAAATTAGATGTCTGCTTTGTGTCTTTTGCTCTCAACAAATACCACAAAGCCAACACACAAGAAAGGTGTCTACCAGCTGAGCTTAAGCCAATCAGCCAGCCCAGACAACAACAGTCAAGCCATAAGCTGGGCTTGAAATGTTGTTGATTTCTTGTTGCTGGTGATTTTGTTGTTGTTAAGTGAGCATAAAAACGCTAAAATTCCAAACATGCGGTTTAGTTCCTCAAAGTAAATTCAACTAGTCAGACCAAAACCTGAAACCAAAGTGGACACACGTTGCCGCTGCTGCTGTCGCTTATCTTGTCTTGTCTTGCGTTCGGGCGAAACCAAATCGGTCGAAAATAATAAAATTCATAACTTTTTGTAAAAAAGGCTAAAAGGAAAAAAAGATTGGAAACGGGAAAAAAATATTTAACGATTTTTACAATAAAATCAAAGGCTATTGTGTTTTAAATATTACCAACAGCACACACACACTCACCCAAACCAACGGAACAAGTGGCAAAAAATACCAGTATTGAAAATCTGATGTAATGAATTGTGTGTAGAAAAAATTGAAAGTAAATGAAAGTGTTTGGAAAAAAGTGAAAAAAGGAAGGAAACTAGAATTTAATTTCAAAGTCATATCGAAAAAAAAAATAGAATAGAAAAAAGAAAAAGATTTTGAAAATGTTTCAAATAAAATGGTGCCTTTTAATGTTCTTTATAAAAGTTCTAATAATGTGGATTGGGGTAGCACAATGTGCTCCCATAGAGGTGACAACTTCCATGGAGGATACGCCGGAAATGACAACAATACTACCCAGCAGCATAAGTATGGATAACGAAATGGAGAGTTCTAATAAAACCCAGAAGTTGGAGGAGGAACCATCCTACTCCATAGATGTGAAGCAAAGTTTAGGGTCCCATCATGCCGAAAATTATGCCAAAAGTTCATATTTCATACCAGTCGAAGTGAGGTTTGATGAACCCAGGGATTTTCCAAATTCCCAAACTTCACCGGAAAATTCTCAAATTTCTGGGGATCAACATACAGTCCAGACAACAACAATAAATGAATTTCCAGCATTATTAAATGGTTCAGAGAGTATTACAGAATTAAGATTTGGAAAATCAAACAATTTTTCAAATACCCAAATTTCCCCAGAAAATCCCCCCACTTCTGGGGATGAAAATACAGATCGTACAACAATAATAAACGAAATTTCAGCATCACCAAACGTCTCAGAGAGTACTACAGAGTTATTAGTATCAGAAAACTCGAATTCCCAAAATCAAACTGAAAATCCCCAAAAAATCCCCACACAAAATTCCGGTGAAATTTCAACGGAAATCACAACATCCGGTATATTTACAAGTGAAAATTCTCTAGAAGGGCTTTTAAGTGATTCTCAGAGTGAAGGACAAAATTCCCAAATTTTCCCCGAAAATCCTCATAATTACCAACAAGAAAATTTAGCTGACATTACAACAAAAAGTGACATCCCAGAATTGCAACATAACCCAGAAGTCGTAACAGAGTCAATGCAAAACGAAACAAGTGATTCCCAGAAGGAAAATGAAAATCCCCAAAATCCTAATAAAAATTCCCCAATTTCCACGGAACAGAACTTCAGGGATCTAGCAACAACAAATGAAACACCTGTGCCACTAAACACCCTAGAAGGCATAACAGAGCCTTTTAAACTTGAAAACAGTGATTCCCAAAATCTTAATAAAAATCCCCAAAATTCGAATGAAAATCCCCAAACTCCATTTGATCAAAAATTAGCTGACGTAACTACCACAAATAAAACCCCTGTGCCCCTTAACACACTAGAAGGCATAACAGAGCCTTTCAAAATTGAAAATAGTGATTTCCAAAGTCAAAGTGAAAATCCCCAAAATCAGAGTGAAAATCCCCAAACTTCATTTGATCAACAATTATCCGACATAACAACAACAAATGAAACCCCAGTACCACTAAACACCTTGGAAGGCATAACAGAACCATTTAAAATTGAAAACAGTGATTCCCAAAGTCAAAGTGAAAATCCCCAAAATCACTATGAAAATACCCAAAAATCTCCAATGTCCTATTCTAATGAAAATCAAGAAGAAATCGAAAAATCAGTCATCACTGAAAGTGAAAATTTTAAAAAAGAAAAATTAAATGAATCTGAAAATAATGAAAATCAAGAAAAGTTAGATTCAAGTGAAGAAATCTCCAAATCCAGTGAAGAAAAGCAAAAAAGTGGGTATTTCCCCACTGGAAACGAAAATCCCCAAAGCATAATTTCAAAACTTAGTGAAAATGAATCCTCTACTGAAACAAAAAGTGAAACTGAAATCAAATTTCCTGAAATGCCCCAAATTATTTCCAACAACCAAAACAATATGGCAACCCTGAATGTTTCCCAGGAAAATGAAAATCTACAAGACGAAATTTTAAAGGCCGTGGAAAGTGGAAACCCCATTGAATTTCCAACAACTACCCCGGAAAGTTCAACCTTACGGAACGATGGCGAAAACTCTTCAAATATTCCAGAGTTGCCATATGATGCAGTACAAAAAGCTGAGGAAAATAATGCAGCGACGGAAAATTTAACAGAAAAAGATTTAATTATGGGCATAATAGAACTGTATAATTTCGATTCCCAGCCATCTACTGAAAATCCCCAAGCTTCCCGGGAAAAATTATTTGAAGATGTGGCAGCGACGGTAATGGAAATTCCCAATGAAACTGGAAGAAATTATGATATTAATATCAGATCTACCCAGAGCGAAATTCCCGATCAAATGGCAGTGGAATCTCAAAATTCTGGAAATCCCCAAAAAATCCCAGAAAGTGTCATGGAATCTCTATCGAATTCAGCAACTAATCTAGGATCCGATGAGCTGCCCAGCACAACACAGGTGGTGGAAATTGTAAAAGAAATCCCAGATATGCCAGTCAATGACTCCCAAATTACAGAATCTCCAAATGTCACGAATATTATTATTTCAACTAATTTGGCAGTGGAAACTGCTCCCGTAACTAAACAGCACGGAAATACACAAGAATATGAAAATCCCCAAGTTTCTACTGAAAATGCCCAAAATGTCCCCGATTTTAGTGAAAAGAATAACTTCCCCGAAGAAAAGAAGGAAGACAATTTTCACCATAATGAAAACTCATCGGAAAATTCGAAAGTCGAGAAAACAGAAACTCATTTCACAGTTCAAAATCCCGAAAATATGAATTCCCAAAATATATCTGAAAATCCCCAAATTTCCCCAGAATCGCAAAATACCTCTAATGAAAGTATTTCAAATAATTCTGCCATTGAAACTGCCGCAGAAACCAAACAAAATGAAAATGCCCAAAATTTCATGGAAAATACCCACGATTTCCCAGGATTGCCATATAATATGCCCGATAAAATTTACGTCCAAGTCATTGAAGAGCCTGTAATTATCCAGAGTTTTCCAACTACGGCGTCTCCGATTCTAGATCACAGCACAGAAATTCTTTCAGTTTCCCAAGAAAATCTCACAATTCCCAAAGATATGCTTCCAGAAAATCTCCCAAGCGATAATCCTCCAGCTTCCCCAGAAAATCCCACAATGCCTGCACAAATGGTAATTTTGACTGAAGCTGAAACTTCTTCAAGTCCGAATATAGAAAAGAGCGAAGAAAAGTTGAAAAACATCAACTTCAATGCCCAGTTATCAACTGAAAGTTCCCAAGATGCTGGAGTTTATATGTTAATGGAGATGATTGTGCCGGCAGAGAGTGTCCAGGAAATGCCCAGCACAGAACAGGAAAATTCTACTCAATTTTTGGAAAAATCACAATCTAGAGAAGCTAAAAGTTTGGAAATAAAACCACAAGAATTCCAACAAACGGAGGAAAAGAATATATCCCTAGAGGAAAATATTGGTGAAGAATCCATGTTGGCAACCCAGGTTGCTACCACAGATGACTTGACGAATGCCGCCTATGAGAATCCTGGTTTTATAAATCTCAACGACAATATGGATATAATGGACAGTAGTTTCCCAACAAGTACTTCGGAAAGTGGGGTAACAGAAATACAACAAAACTCAGGGGAAAATCAAACAAATGGGGAAATCAGCACAACAAATGCACCTTCAATTTTGAGTGAAGATAGTTTGTCTACAGCAAAATTCGAAGAGGTTGCATTAATGAATGAAGACCCAACCACACCAAAAGCAGCAGCAGCAAGTATGACCACAGAATCTTCTACAAAACCCAATATCGTAGCAGAAACTACCCTACCAACCATCGAGGTAACAAAACAGGAGACCCTACAGACAACCACAGAAAAAATGGAGAAACAAGCTACCACCATGTTACCGGATTCTACCACAACCATGCCATCCGACACCAATGGCAACACTGAAAGCACCAACACCGAAATGGGTGAAGAACCCACAGCCACGACCATCAATCAATTTGCCTCATTGCTGGCCGAAACTGAAATGAATGTCCACAAGGCCTTTGAAACGCTGCGAGAATGGATTGCTCATGGTCAGAAATTGGAAGATACCACAAGAAATCCGGGTGCCAGTGATGGACTTGAGGCAACAACAAATAATCCAAGTATTAAGGACATGACCACCATGAAATCGTCGGAAGATACAACAAATGGTAATGGTGAAAATGTAACAGATATGGCAACCTTGATGCATGATAATGAAAATTCAAAGGATATAAAAGAAAATAATACGGAAATTCCAAATACAACAATGAATTCCTCTACGGATGATGCTATGGATAAGAAGCATTCATCAGGACAAGATGAAATTACATCGACTACAGAAGGAAGTTCAAGTGACATGGAAATTAAGGAGACTTCGACAGGAGTTGCAGACCACACGGCCACCACAACCGAACAAGGTAAGAATGAGTTTGAATTTTCTGGGAGTAGTGATATGTGACAATCAATCGATAACGCTGTGCGAATTAACGGTTTCAATAATTGCGGAAATTTTAAATCGCAGAGGGGTGCAAATTTCCCTCTTTCACATTCCTTAAAATGCTCGGACTCAGACTTCTTGGAATCCTTGCATTTTAGCTATATAGTGTCTTCGGCAATATTGAAGATAAAAATACGAGGAAGTTTTCGAAATTTTAACATCCAAGCTATTCAACGATCGCGTCTTTTTTGTCAATTCTCGCAGCGATTCGAAATTTTCCAAACACAAGATCAGATGGGAAGATGGAATATATCAAATCACTTCTCCTACCTACCCCCAAAAACGTGTCGAAATTTTGAATAATTTTAACTCTCATAAAATGGGAAATGAGCATCCTATTCTCTTCCTATTTCACACATTACCATTTTCCACTAACACAAGATCTGTTGTGAAGATCAACCCACACCTTCTGCTACCTCCCCCACTTGCGAAATAATTCATCTATTATTTTTAAACTAGTTATATCCCAATATTTCTCTCAACAATATATCTGATGTGAAAATTAAAATAATCAGGTCAAATGTTAAAATTTTGATTAAAAACAAGTAAGCAAATGCTATAGTCGTGCGGGGCCGACCATGTGATACCCTACAACACTACAATATGTTCGAAGTCACCTTATATCCAAATATATTTGAAGATTTCGTTTTTGAAATAATGCTCTTTGACAGAGGTTACCCTTAGTTTTTTGACCCGGAGAATTTGGCCAATATTTACGCACTCCGTAGTGTTGTTAAGTAATCAAAACAATTTAACACGAAAGTTGTGATCATTTTACAGTCATCCAAAATGCTAGACTTCTTCCCCGACTTTAACTCTCTTCTGATGCGAAATTCCGTGTCGATTAGTTTCAATTGTGGCCTATAGAGCGACTACAAAATTAGAAAAAATTAAATTGTTTTAGTCCATTTGCACCTGTAAATGTACATCTTAAGAACAATAGGCTTTTATTCTGACCCTAACCCTAGCCCCATGCAAAATTTCGTGAGGCATCACATGCATATAATACCCTCAAAACGTAGTGTTGGGGGGTGTAAAAATTTAAAAAATTTACAATTCAAAATATTAAGTCAAATTGAAAAAATCGCATGCGATAAAAATATAATAAAAATTGAAAAAAAATCGACAAAAGATATTCACTTTTTTATTGGTATATTTTTCCGCGATTTTCTTAGATTTTATCGTTTTCTGGCAAAATACCATTCTGAATTGATGGGAATTGTAAAAATCGGCCTAGTGGTTCTTGATTTATAAACAGAATAAATAAGATCAATTCTTTTACATATATATTGTACTTATTTTGCAATATATCCTATTTCTTGGCTATCAGAATCACTTTAATGGTCAGAAGTGATCTTTTAATGTATTTGTGATTTGGCTGGGGTTGAAAATATTCACGGTTTAGTGGAAATTTTCCTATTATCTTACATAAAAGTTAGGGTATATTATACCCGCTAATTATTTTCCGATGACCGCCCAAATTGGTAGGTTTCGGCCCACTCATAAACTCTAACTCAATGTAAATACAGAGCAACTGCAAAATCAGAAAATGTTTCTGTTTTTGGTCCATTTCAGCCCCTAAATATCGTGCGATAATCTCAATAGGATTCTATTCTGACCATAACCCCACCTCCATTTTCAATTTCGTGAGGATCGGTTCATAATTGCGACATGTAGCTTGATTGCAAATTAACATGGACAGACGGACGGGCGGACGTACATAGCTAGATCGGCTCATCTTGGCGAGATAGGATGATCCATATATACTTTCCTATGTAGGAAACCAATAATTCGAGGTGTTACATAATTTTTGGACCAATCAAACTTATAATACCCCCAACACATAGTGTTGTAGTGTATAATTATTCACATAAAATTGCAAATAAATGTTCGACTTCCTTTATATTTTTATAAATTTTTTATATCAGTATTAGATGAAGTGAAATATTTCAGATCACTATATCTGGTACCTCACGCACATTTCAACATGTCTAAAAAATTACGAAACGAAATTACAAACATTATTTTTATAAAAACAACAATAGAAGGATTAAGCCTGACCATTTTGCAACAACAAAATACTATGGTATCCCGAACAAACAACCCAACACTGTTCTAAAAAATTATCACATATTTCATATAAACCGAATAATAGATATAGATATATAGTCCAAATCTGGCACATTGTAATATTTACAAAAGACTTAGGCCACGTACGAAACGCATAAAATTTATCAAAATTTCCGGAACTTCTCATATCAAGGATCAATAGTTTGAATAATCATTACGCAGGTCAAAAAATATTAAATAAACGCTGGGGGTATACAACTGTCGGCAAACCCGATTGATGCTTCATAACTTGTTAAATAAATTGTTCACGACCTGAAAGTGTCAAAAAAGATAAAATTCTACACAAAACACTAATGTTTAGCCAAATTATGGGAGTTATTCATATATGGAAGCTATATCTAGAGGGTTAAAATGTTTTAAATTTTTTATCTGCAATGTTGTCGAAGACACTATATATCTAACATCAATGAATCCCAAGGAATCTTAATCTAAAATTTAAAAAAAAATGGAAGAAGTTGCCCCCTCTATTTTGGGTTATTTTGCGATGCAAACTTTCAAAACGCCAACCATTTAAAATCATATAAAAATGTGAATTTTGTTGCGCAGATATTTGGGTTGATGCCTTCACTTAATGATATTCCAATACAAAAGCCTATCACGAAATGCTTTCGTGAGAAGAACATCACTTAAAATTTTATATTACGATTTCTAAAATTACGGAAAATATGCCGGAATTATTATAAGACAGATTATGGAAACAATTTATAGCCAATAACAACTCATCAATTAATTATAAGGAGTTACAATCTAACATATTTCTATCAATAATAAATAACGCGAAATAATCCGGCTACTTTCAAACTTCGCACATCCTAATGCATCTGCAAACACAAGGTCCGGTTGGATGATAAAATAAAACGGAACACTCTTTGTGGTACCTCCCCCACCAAAGGGCCAACATTTCGGACTATTAAAACTCTCATAGTATGCGAAACAGGCCAGCGGTCAAACATTCAAATTTAATGTATCCCAAAACTTCTATCAGCCGTAGATCAACCAGTGGGATATGTCGGTCCACTCCTTCTAGTATCCCTCAAAATATAAAAATATTGATATAAAATTAAAAAAAAAGACATTTTACACATCCCATAATTTTTATTGGTATTATATGAGGTCTGGAGTGGAATACATCGGTCCACTCTTTCAGGGACTTTCCCCACAAAAACTCAACATTTTCCAAAATATGAACCAATCAATTTTATACTAGACCCTATAAAGTCAAGAATTTTGAGATGTGCAAAGATGGGTATTAGGTATGAATCTTATTACTTGAAGTAACTTTTAAGGTAGTCTAATTATGTATCGTGATATCTTGAGGGATTTGCTTATTCTAATCAAAAGGGCGTTAGATATATAGATATTTTGAAGTAAATTATAGGTGTATAAAGGATCAAATTGTCGGCTCCGTTCGACTATAACCATTGCTTTCTTGCTTTAAATTCCCATTTAAATTCTAATTTGTTCCTCATACTATAAAAAATGTTATTCAAAACTCTCTTTTTTCTGCTTATTTTGCAGGTGTGGCAGAAACAACAATAGTTCCAACGCTTGCACGAGTCAAACTAGAAAAGGATTTGACCAGCATCAACTTGACATATTTAGATGATTCTAGCGAAGAAGAAATAGAAAATGATAGGAGCAAAGAACACCAGAAACTCAACTCCCACAGTAACTCTCAAGAAAACTCCCAAGAAATCAAAAATACCCATACCACCGAAAATAGTGATATGGAGGCGTCCACGGGTATAACAGAAATGGTAAAATTCATCCAACATGAAACCACAACTGCGGCGTCAGATCAAGAAGAAAGAAAAACACTGCAGCCCCTGACACAGGCTTCATTCATGGAAGAGCAGCAGCAGCAAATTGAGACAACAACAGTTAAGGATATAAGTTCCCCCAGTACCAGTACAGCTGATGAAAAAGAAGAAGAAGCTACGGAAATGTTTATGATGTTGTTGACAACAACACCAACAACGCCCGCAGAATCATCTACAATAACTGGGAAAGATGGAGATCTTACAGAGTCTTCCAATGTTGCTCTAACAGCTACCACGGAAGTACCTGAGACCACAGAAAGCTCTACAAATGTTGTGACAACAACCCATGAAAGTGACAAAACGGCAACAGATTCAATATCAACACCGGCTTCTGAAGTCACAACACATCTGCCAGACACAACAACACCAGATCTTCAAGAGACCTCAACAACGACAACAGATATTAGCATTGACACAACAACACTCAATCCCGAAGAAGATGAAGAATTTATAACAACAACGATGACAACCGAAGAACCGGAAATTGAAACCACCACCCTGTTGACGACGACCGTGGCCCTCGAGCCGCGATCACTGCCCCCACCAAAATTAGAATATTTACAAAGTGAAGACGGTGTGGAGGTCTTCTACGGCTATTCGATAGTTAAACATAATTAATTTATTTATAAACGACTATTTTAAGCTCTTTAACAGGGTGCTCATTAAACCACAACAAAACTCATAATCTCTTGTTAATCGCTCTCATTTGTTTAACTTAAAGCAGCATGACTTTTTCAATTTCCATTTTTTTGTGTTGTTTTTCTCTTTTTTCGAATAGTATTTCAGAGGAATACGAAGAAAAAACCTAAACTATTTCAAATATTTCTTTTAGTGTTAATCAAATCTATATCTGTACTCTTTTATGAATTGTTTTTTTATTTAATTCTATTTCTATTCTTCACACGCCAATACCAATCACAAATTTATGCCATAAAATTTAAATGAAATTAGAAGAAGAAGAGGAGGTAAATAAAAACAGTAAAATATTTTTATAAAACAAATGTATCTTAAGTTATTTAAGAATGTGATAAATATCCAATGTATCTGCGTAGAATGTAGGCAGCATGTATGACAAAAAAAATAAAATAAAACAAAAAAAATAATATTATTATTAAATTACATAAACTTGAGTGTGTTTAATATGGACTTTAAATCTTTTGAGAGGCATGATAAGTTGGTTATTTTGAGTGATGCTCTAAATCTAATATGGTCATAATAGGTATTTTGATTGCCGTTTAAAATATTACACCACTTCTGCTAATGGCTGTTATATTCTGGGTGGGCTAATATTACTATTATATTATGGGCTTATATTACTATAGATTTTACACTTTCCTACCTAATTTCTTTCCAAATTAGATGTAAATTAGCGATTCAGATTAGCAAATTTCCTAAAGGAAATTCCATAAAATTCCAAGCAAAAAATTCCAAAAAAAAAAATCCGCTCTACGAAAAAAAATATATATATCGTTCTCAGGTGCCCTAAATATTCTATACGAATTTCCCAGCAAAACTAGGCGAAAATTATATTTTCATATCTTAAGGGATATGACATATTTTGGCAAAAAAATTTCTCCAATTCCCAAATTTTGAATAGCCCCTATAAAGTAAGAATTTCGGTAAGAGCAGCGAGAAAATATTGTGTAGGCCCCAAAAAAATTTGGGGCAGATTAGAACCGTTTGTTATACCCTACAACACTATGTGTTGGTGGTATTATAAGTTTGATTGGTCCAAAAATTATGTAACACCACGAAATATTGGTTTCCCACATAGGAAAGTATATATGGATCTTCCTATCTCGCCAAAGTGAGTCGATCTAGGTATGTATGTCCGTCTGTCTGTCTGTCTGTGAAATTTAGAATGGAGGTGGGGCTAGAGCCAGCATAGAACCCTATTTCTTTTGGAGATGAACGCATAATATTTAGGGGTTGAAATGGACCAAAAACTGAAAAAAATCCTGATTTTGCAGTTGCTCCACAGGTCGCAATTATAGACCAATCAAAGCGGAAGTTAGCATGGGGCTAGAGCTTAGGGCTGGGCAGAAGCTTTCAAATTTTAGTGGTCATCGGGCAATATTTAGTGGGTGAAATAGGCCATAACATTACTGTTAAACAAAAGCCAAATTTTCCATTAAACCGCGAATATTTTTAATCCCGGCAAAATCACAAATAAGAGAACAGGCCAATTCTGACCATTAGGTAGATGCCAATATGATATATATCTCATATATATAGCGAAATATATACAATGTGTATATCCAAATGAAAGGGATGTTACATAGAATGCTTATATCTCAAGAATGGCTGGACCGATTTTGACAAATTTTGTCAATTCAGAATGCTCTCTTGGCATAAATGTATAAAATCTAAAAAAATCGCATAATGTGGTTAATATAGATTTTGTAGATTTTTGTGACATTTTTTTAATTTTTTTTCTTATTTTTTATTTTTTATTCTTATAAAAAAGTTGAATTTTGTTAGTCATTGGTATTATCAGGAATCGGTGAACCGATTTTATTTCTGACGTCCAGACCAAGGTTTATGTGTACAAACAGTCTCTGTATGTGTAGTGATTTATGAGTTACAGCCATATTTTGAAAATATTTCAGTCACTAAATGACTCACTTAAGGGTCTGGCGAAACGGAAACTAGAATTTTGCATATGAATCGGTGCTGGATATTTGGAAATTCAAACAATATGTAGGGTACTGAAAATTAGGATACCAAAATTTAACTCATTGTATTGGGCAAACGGAAAGATTTGGAATTCAGAGTTTTGGAATAAGGATCGCTGAAGGTATGTAGGATAGATGTACAAAAGTTTTTAGTTAAAAATTGGATACATAATTGTACTAAAAATAATAAAAAGCTACAATTTTAGTATGAGTTGTTATTGTGTGAGATGAGAGAGCTAAAACCTTGACATTTGGTATAAGAAATATTTGTGGAAAGCATGGTAGGGTAGCTTTCAACATGTACTATACTAAATTTCTTAAGATGTGATTTTGCTTAAAAGCATGTGCTGGAGAAATGTTGGTGTTAGTGTCACTGCTGTTTGAAATGAAGGTCGCTGATGGAGTATACGACTTTTTTTTTTGGAAATTCGAACTATAAGTTTACTAAAGGGAAATATAAAATCAAAAATAAAAAATCAAATCAATAAATTTGGTATTATGTGCAAGAGATAAAATCTTGAAATCAATTTACATTGTATTAGAAATTAATGTTCTCTGGAATTCTTGAACAGACTATTATGTTTGAAAAAATATGCGTTTATCACTTAAACCAGCAACGCGGTCCGGGTCAGCTAAATTGGCATACATGCTGACCCAGAAAAAAAGAGATATTTAGGGTTTCTGTTGGAAAATTCGCTATATGAAGAGATTCAATATCGGTTCCAATTTTTTATGTAAGTTTTATGCAGGGGCATCAAACGATTATAGGTGTTTAGAAAATTCTAACTACTTTTCAAAGTATAAGTAGATGTAAAATGATATTTACATATTTTCACCTGGCCGGGGTATTTCGGGATTATATATAAATGTAGAAATCATATGGTAGAGGGTATACAGAAGTTCTGTTTAACAAACAGTGATTCAGGTTCGCGTTTTCGAGCCAGAAAATCCGTAACTTTATAATCGAATAATGATCTGAATATATGACAAGTAAAATAGTATCAGTCGGTTTTGCCGATAGGTGTATACACCCAGCCTTGAGTTATGATTATTCAAACTGTTTACCCTTCGGAAGCAGTTGGCCAATTTGGACCAATTCGTATCTGGCCTAAGACTTTTATAAATATTACAACGTGCCTATACTTTATATGAGATATGGGCAAATTTTTGGAAAATGTGAAAATATGCGTTATAGCGGACCGAAGTATTCAATTTTCATACTTCATCTAATACAGATAAAAATATTGGTAAGGGCAAAATTAAAAGAAAATCGAATATTTATATCCGAAATCAAAACTTTCGATAAAAAAAAACGTGTTCATATCAGATTTCTGGTTAAGAGAAATATTTAGATATAGCAAGTTGTGAAAAATCGCCGACATTTTTCGCAAGTTTTGACTGATATAAGTATTGCAAAATTGTGACGATTTGTGGGTGAGATAACATAAGGAATTCGCAGTTATATACCACCTTCACAACACATCTTGTGTTAGCAAAATGTTTGTATGTGTGCAATTTGAAGAGAGTTGGATGCAAAATCTAAAAACCTTTGTGGGGGAGGTACCAGAAGGGTTAATAAAATATTGTGAAGTGTAATTTTACAAGTTATAATTATTCAAAATGTTGAGGAGGGGAGGTACCAGAAGGAGTGGTTCAATCTCTACCATCTTCATAACAGATCTTTTTGAATATAATCGTCCGTCCGATCGACTACAAATGTCCTGAAACAGATTTGGTCCAAGAGACCTAGGGTCTAAAATCATTATTTCGATGAGGCACGTTTTGTCCGTATCAAATGATATATACCATCTCTAGCCATATGGCTGAGGTAATAAAAACCTGATGTAGGAATATGAGACCATTATCTATATTTTGTTAAATTCAGTGCCGATGTGTTTAAAATTACCAACAGTTATGGCCCCACCAGAACGTAAATATTAATTGTCAACATCGTCCTAACCCAAGGTATGGGCCCCACATAAGGTGACCAATTTGAATGCCTACAGAACTCCTTAAAAATCTGGGGGAACAGAAACAAGATTGATGTGCCAATAAATGAATATTGAAAATATTTTTTCAGATAAATATCTGTTTTCTTTTCTACCGGATATAGGCCCAAAATACCAAATTCTTGCCCAATCTCTTGAAAAGGATTCTTGGTGTTTCAAAGATTGGAGTATACGGTTATATAAGGGTCTTTTCAAAACTAAGGTCTCCATTGAACAATTTTTGCGAAAAGATGTTCTATTGTTAGAATATCAAACTGCAGGTACTTCGGATAGTAATAAAAGTCGAAAACACATGACTGGTCCATGGATATACGGTATGGTTAATTTTTAGATATTTTTTGTAAAGATTAAAATTTTAAACGACACTCGCAATCGTTTGAAAAATTCAAGTAAAAAACTAAGTCCCTAATGTATATACAAAATGTGGATTTAAAAATATGAATATATAAATAAATATATTCGTTTGTATTCGAAAAAAATGTCTGGTTTTGAATGAGAATGAAACTGTTTCAACGGATTGAGAACCAGTTTAAATTATTGGAAATGATATTGGTTAAGCATTTGTTGGTGTTGTTTTATTCTTAGCTTAAAGAATTTCTGCTGGCTAATATGCCTGAAATAAATATGTAAAAATTAATCGCTTTAAGCAAACACAAAAATAATCGAAACTAGTTTCGTTTTTTTCTCATTTTCAATGAGAAGGTAAACATTTAATAAAAATAAAATAAAACAAAAAAATCATATAAAACTTTGTTATATATTTCAACGCAAAAACAACAGTAAGCTTACTGTGATTATGAATCATTTCACTGGCGAGAACAAAAACGCTTAGGTGACCAGTTTATGTGACTGGAAAGAAATCTATGAATGGCTAGAGATTTTATCATCCAGAGAATTGCTCTATTTCCATCACTTTGAAGAGAAAAATATTCCATTCTCCAATCGTTCTTAGATTTTATTCATTCCAGTCACTCACAAGAACTAGACCGCTTAC